TGCAGTGGGACAGCCAGATAACAAACTTATAAAAACATCATTTCAGGGAGAGCTAGAATTCTGAATAAAATACAGCAAGATAAGGAATAGAGTCATGTGTGTGTCCATATGTGTTTTTGTGTGTATGAATATGTGTATAGCATATATATACATGTGTATACTGTGTACATGTGTGTATACATTTTCTGCTTTAGATTTGATGGATAGGGAAGCCCTCTTTGGGGCACATACTTTTTTTGTTTTTAAAATATATATTTTTTAATTGGCATAATTATACATATGTATGATGTATATGGTGTGATACACATTTCAAGACATGCATATAATCTGTAATAATCATATTGAAGTAACTGCCATGTCCATCATCCCAAATATTTATCTATAACTTTTGAGCAAAGATCTCAGTGAAATGAGGGAATTAGCTATGCAGATAGCTGGAGTAAATTTCAGGCAGTACAAAGACTCAGAGACAGAACATTTTAGTTTGTCCAACCAGGAATAGAAACAAAATGCTAGTGGCAAATAAAGTTGGACATGTTGGCAGGGGTCATGCCATGCAGGAAATAGCCATGGTAATATCTGTCAATTAAGAGTTCAATCCTAGCACTAAGAATTCTTGCTCACTTTGCATTCCATGTAACTCACTCACTTTATCACTGCTGGGACAAAATACCCGAGGCCCACAACTTAAAGGAGGAGAGGGTTATTTTGGATCACAGTTTCAGACCATGGCCGTCTGGCTTCCAGGCAGAACAGGATGTCAGGGGGCATGGTGGGGGATGTGGTAGCAGTGAAAAGTTGCTTTACCCATGGCATCCAGGAAACAGAGAGAAAAGGCAGAAGCTGGGGACGAGAACATATCCTTCCAGGTCACACCCCTAGTGTCTGACCTGCAACCAGGTCCCACTGCCTAATAGCACACTGAGCTCCTGAACTCATCAGAGGCAGAATCCACTGACGGATATGGTGCAATCACCTTCCAAACCCAGGAGACTTTTGGGGGAGCATTTTCGATTTAAACCATAACATGCTGTTCTGTCCATGAGTCCTTTTCATAAGCATTACCTTGTTGCAGTGCTCGCAGCAAAGCTGCAAAGTTGTTATTAGCACCTGGGCATGATGGCACACACCTGTAATTCCAACACTTCGGAGGCTAAAGCAAGAGGGTTACAAGTTCAAGGCCAGCCTAGGCTACCCAGTGAATTCAAAGGCCAATGGCCTGGGCTGTATAGCAAAACCTTATCTCAAAAGAAAAAGAAATGTTGCTATTATCCATTCTATTCCAGTCTATAGGTAAGGAAAATGTAAGAAATTGTCAATAATTTTGCTCAAATTTTGGTCCACTTTAGGACATGGTATAAACTTAAGTTTAATAATTTTATTTCTTCACATCATAAATCAGTATGCTTTACAGGGCTTAGATATAGACTCAATGTATGTTGATTCGGTTTATTTCTTTGAAATCACAAAGTGAGTGGCTGGCCAAGTTGGGTTTGTTGCTATGCATCTCACCCCAAAGACAGTGCTTTTTGTGTTGACTCACGTGGCCACGTGACTTTCCCTTTGAATCACAGAACAATGAGATGCCAGGATCTTCAGGGATCACCTCTCCAGCGGACTCGTGCTAACATCTTCCAAAGCCTGTGACATTTATGTGGTTTTCCAGGACGCTACTGCAGAAGATTTGTCAGCCTCTCATATTATACATTCCCATTTTAAAGAGGAAGGAAGTTTTTCTTAGCATATTTCTTTAGATAACTTATATGTAATTAATTTTTACCAGTCAGTCCATATAGTTTGGTAAATTCTGTCTCTGCCTCACCATTCGGACTTCTTTTTAACTAACCCTACCATAGCTCACCTGTACTTAAATTGTGGGTTAAGAGGTTGAGTTCAAATTCTGGCCCCACTTTCAATAGGTATATGACCTTTCACAATTAGTCACCCTGAACATGGAGACAGTAATCATACTTCATAGGTTAGTTTTAATAGTTAGGTGTGTCTGTACAGTGCTCAGGGCAGAGCCAAGATCAGAGCAAGCCCTCTCTCTGGTAGCACTTGCTGTAGAACTGCAGCTAGAGAGATAAGTGAGGGCCTTGCTAGTGAGTGATTCTCACTCACTAGCTGAACCATGACAAGTCTACAGGTAAAAACTAAGGTTGATTAACTCCTGAGAATTCTAAGGGCTAAGGGAAGGGTAATTATTGAGTGTCTCCAAGTACACTACCCCATGTCAATCTCAGGGGTTGTTATTACACTCTCCAGTTGGTAGTTATTTTTACCAAGTGGTGGTAGAGATCGGGGGTTGGATTGGAACAGGGGACGTGTGATTCAGGAGGACACTATGGGCAGGAAAGAACACCACCGATAAAAAACAGCTCTCTCCCTTAAATTGTGGAAGAGGCAGACTGATTTCTCTGCTGCTGTTTCCCTGTTCGCATGATTGTTGTTGTTGCCAGGTAACTGCCGGTACAGGGACTTTGGGTATGCTGCTGGGTGAGTGGGATGGAGGTGCAGGGAGGCAGAGGTCAAGGTCAAAAGGCATGGAAACAGCGGTGTACGCACAAAGTAGGGTCCCTGAGATCTCCTCTAGGTCTACGGGAAACGTGGAAATAATGAGGAAATTTTCAAAGAAAAAACCAGTAAATATATATTCTTGAAAAAAGAATAAAGATTTTGGTTTACTCTTCCTCTACTCCTTTAGAAAGAAAGCTTAATTCCTCATAGATCCCAGGAAACACATAAGTATGTGTGTGTGACTGCTGGTTCGTCTTTAAATTCCCCATTCAGAGGACAGCAATTCCTCCAGCTCAGCGTCCAAGGTCAGGTGCCCCAGTGATACACACTGTCAGCATTCGAGAGAAAATAAGTTGTCTTATTAGACTCAGAAGGCCCTGGGGAAGCCATCTCTCATGTTCTTTTTCTCTCACACATTAAGCACTGGTTCTATTCCTAAATGAGGGGTAACATAATGATGCAAGAGAAAGAGCAGAAAGCAAAGCCAAACAGCAGCTGACTGCAACCAGCGTATGTTACTGTGTGTCTGAAAGCCCAGCACACTTGTGAGTGTAACCCATTTTTTATATGGACAAAACCATGAATGTCAGCTAGAAGGGACCTGGGGGATGGTCCAGGAAGATCATTTACTTCAGGGATGAGGAAAGACAAGTCCTTAATCAGGTGCAATGATGAGACTGCAGATCAAGCCCTCTGAGAGAGAGAGAGAGAAGATCTCTTTAATTCCTTGGCTTCCACACCTTTCACTATCTTACCATTAACCTTCAGCCTCGTGCCTCACAAAGTAGCTCTGAAACTCCCCAGCCTGCTGCACAAATTGACCTCTTCGCTTTGCCCAGACAGAAACGAGCCTGTGACTAATCTCTGAGCTGTTTCCCAGACTCATACTAGGTCTCAAGGTCCTTTATTGGTTTATTCTTGTTAAGTGATTATTACATCAGCTTTCTCCATCAATACATGTTTCATTGACTGTAGCTAAAGCAATTTGGTTTTAATTTCTTCATGCCTTCATTTTTGGAATCCATATCTTAATTACAATGTTGGCCTCAAAAAAAGACGCTTACAGTATAGCTCGTATAGCCCACAGAGATGGTGGCCAATGTAGAATGTGTTAGATTCTTTCAATTCTTAAAAATAACACTGCCGGGTGTGGTGATACACACCTATAATCCCAGCATTTGGGAGGTTGAGGCAGGAGGATCTCTGGGAGTTCAAGGCCCAGCCTGGGCTACGCGGTGAGATCCTGCCTTAAAAAAACCCACCAAATAATTGACCTTAGATAAACTGGAATTTCATTACAAACTCTAAGCTGATAATTCTAAACTGCATTTAATGGTAGTTTATTTTAAAACATATATTTTCTTTACATACATTTAAAATAATGTAGGCTACTCTTTATTGATTATTTACTATGTGGCAGATACTGAAGCATCCACATTCTACATGTCATTTTATTAAGAATTGTCAACAATAAATTGATTATGTCCATCTAACACAAGTACAAACAAAATTCAACAATTGGTTCAAGGTCACCCGGTAAATGGGATTCTTAAAAAATAAAGTCCGTAGGTCATGCTTTTGTCACAATAGCAGTTTGACTCCGTTAATAAAATGTTTTGCCTTGATTGTCATCTTATATAAATGAAATTACAGTGTAATGAATTAGCACTTTATGGGCCTTGAACAAAGCAACTGTCAGTTCCCTGTTGCTGTATAGCAAAGTTCCCCATCATGTAGTTGCTTAAGCTAGCATTCCTTTCCTTGGGAATCAGTTTTGTTGAATGAGGATCTCTGGCTCTGAGTCTCCCACAGGCTGCAATCCGGGCTTCATCTGCGCTGCAGGCATCTCTAGGCTGGGCTGGGAAGGGTCTGATTCCAAGCTCACTCGTGTGGCTGCTGGCAGACCTCAGTCTGCTAGTGCTGTCAGTGATCCTTCAGTTTCGATTCCTTCCTGGTTGTTGGCTCCACGCCACTGTAGGCCGGATAGTGACTCCGAAGACATGGGACCACAATCTCAGGAATCTCTGAATGTTGTTTTACAAGATAAAGTTTCCTTTTAAAAAATTAAACTAAAACATGCAGAGCATAAATTTTATGATATAATAAACTTTTAAGCAGCAAGATTAAGTTAAGATTTTTGAGATGAGAATATTATCCTGGACGATGAGAGAGGGCCCTTGAACACCATCAGAAGCATCCTTATAAGAGGGGCAGGGGAGATTAGACACAGGAGAGCAGGAGGAGGCAGAGTGACCACAGAGGCAGAGGTGTGTGACAGAGCTACAGATCAAGGGATGCTGAAGCATGGGAAGCTGGAGGAAGCAGGAATGGATTCTCTAGGGCCTCCAAAAGGAAACACAGCCTCACCAGCACCTTCACTGGCCAGTGAAATGAATTTCTGACTTCTGGACTCTAGAACTCAGAGAATACCTTTCTGTTGCATCATCAAATTTGCATGGATTTGTTGCGGCTGCCACAGGAAATAGCATGCTGCCCTTGGTCCCTTTCTCTAGTCTCGGTGGACTACTTCACAGCATGGCAGCTGGAATTATCCAGTGAATGAGCAAGAAGAGCCAGAGACACCGGGAGCAAGGTGCAAGTCACAGTTCAGAACTAAATCTTTGAACTTAGAGGAAAGAGACCCCATGGAAGAGAAATAGTTCATCTAGGCTTGATACATATTTTGTTTCTTATTATTCACAGAGAAGTGATTTTGTTGCTGGGTTTATGTGAATTGAACGTGTTGTTGTGTCATATTTTTTTTTTTTTTTCAATCTGGAGAGGTATAGTCCATGGAACATGGAATTGATGAACCTATCCTCAAACCCCTGCCCTCTTTTCTTTATTACGTCCTGTTGCCACCCCAGGGCTATGATCTGGGGCACAGCCTCCCACATCTCCTATTGGCTTGCCGTTCTGTGTCCCAGGGTTTCTTGAAGTGTGTTTTGCTGGCCCACTAATCCCAGTCAACTGAAGGACTTGATGAAAATGTGGCTGTCCAACCCCACTCTATTAAATCTACTAAATGTGGTGTGGGATCCAGAAACCTCTCTATATTTTTAAATTAGATTTTATGGGTACATTTTAGATATACATAATAATCACATTCAACCTTCTATATTTTAAATTAGTTTCCCAGGTGATTCTTATGCACAATAAAGATGATGGCTATAGCCTCAACACTATTCCCTGCTCAAGCAAGTTTCATAGCCAGCTATTTGTGAATACAGACAGCTCTGTATCTGCTCTCTGATATCCATGTTTAACAATCTCTTTTTGGAAAGTATATCTTAATTCAATACTTCCTACTTGACAGCAACCAAAGGGCTGGTGGTAGGCAAAATGGTTTTAGGCATTACATATGTGATCATTTAAAATTTTATATATTGACTAGATACTAAGTCCTCATCGGCTCTGAACCTCCCTACACTGTCCCTGTGCTGACAAGAGAATTATAATACCTTGGCTCCTAGCTTGAGTATTTAGGTCAATTCCCTCAACTCCCCGGTTAATATTAGTAGATTCTATTCCAGGAAGATTGTCTTGGTCAAGCCTTATTCTCACCTTATAATGAATCAACATAAAAATACATGCAAAGGATTTAGGATCAGCTACAATGTCAAAGAAAGGTATAGGAGAATCAGGATCTTGAAACTATGTTAACACCATTGTCAAGATTCTTTCAATTATTGTTTATAGCTGGTTGATAAGACTTATTTGATCCTTTTAACTGGGTATTACCATCTTTTCAGGTGGCATATTTTCTTAAGGAGCTGTCTTCTGCTGCTGCTACTACCATACACTATGCATTCAAAATTATAACTATCATCATATGGGCAAAATCTTTAGCCTCCAGTCAATTAATACTGACCTGTGAACATAGAGAATCACATCATATTGTGACTGGTTTGCGTTTTGTTTACTTAAATCTGAAGTAAATAAAGAATAATTTGGCACCGATGGTTACATATTTTCTTCTGACCACTCCATTAGACAGAATACTGTTGACTTCAAGGATCTGGCTAGCTTGTCAGGATTGCACCAGCATATATTCCTAATGTCTTAGTTACCTTCCCAGCACCCACTATTTGAAAGAGGAGAGATTTCCATCGGCTCACACTTTCTGTGGTCAGATGGCTCTGAGGCAGAAACAGGATGGCAAAGGGGCCTGGTAGAGGAAAATGTGCTCAACCCATGGCAGCCTGAAGCAGAGAGAGAAAGGAGGAGCTCAGGAGGAGATACACCTCTTTTGACCAAGCCTCACCTCCTGACAGCACATTCAGCTGTGAACTCATGGAGTAATCCACTGAGGAGTATACCATCTCCAGGATCTAATCACCTCCTAAACACCCCTCCTCTGAATACATAAGGGTTTTGCCCTCATTCTGGATTTAAACCATAATGTCTAATGTTATTGGACAGTGTCAATGAATACTAGAGGCAAATCTGTCTCCTTTTGCTACTTTCCTCCTTGCCTTGAACTATGGCCGGTCCTTGAGATTATCCTTGGCTCTATTTGCTTTGCTTCCTCAGTCCCCAGGCTGTCCCTGGCTACCTGGAGCTCCAGGGTAGCACTAGGTTTGAGATATGGGTGAGAGTTACATGAAGACATTTTTCCAGTCCTGTCCTGGCCCAGGCTTATGCCTGGGTCCAGATTCAAGTCACGGAACACTGCATTTGCCCTATACTGTCAGATCTCTTAGTCTTTTGCTATCTGAAGCTTCTTGTCAGCTAACAAGTTCTAGCAGAACAAATGATATTAAAATTCAGGATTATACTTTTTGTAGTCCTTAATGAGTTTTCCCAGGTAATTAATTTCCTTGACTGTCAGGCATATATCCTTTTTAATTCAACACATGGAAATATGTAATCTTGCCTCAAAATTGTGTTAAATTGAGTTTTGATTAACCAAAAAAACTGTATAGTTGTTCCTAAGTATCTGCAGGGTGGTTGTTCCAAGCTTCTCTGCCCCCTGCCCCACAAATACCAGAATCCTCATGTGCTCAACTTCCGTGGATAAATGGCTTGGTATTTGCATAAAACCTATGTACATCCTCTGATATACTTTGAATCATTTCTGGATTGCTTACACCTAACGCATATGAATATTATATATAAATAGTTCTTGTGCTATACTTTGGGGGAAATAATGGCAATGTAAAAAGTCTGTATGTGCTAAGGATAGATTCAGTGTGTTAAAAAGAATTTGATCTTTGGGTGGTTGGATTCACAGATGCGTAACCTGCAGATAGGGATTGCTGACTGAATAACACCTATATCACTGATTATGTGGAGTCACACCTATCCACACAGCATTTGAATTTCTGAACATCCTATTGTGAAGTGCATTTATCTCACTCACAAACTTTAATATATAAATTTTTTTTTCAGAGCAGACCATGAAACCATGAGGTGTGCTTTAAGTTCCCAAAGTGACCATTCAACTTGGTACAATTAAACTGTGATGGTTTCGCTTTGTAATGTCTACAAAGCCACGAAAGCATTGGGGTGTCTTGCCAGGACTCCACTGGATGCATATGTGCAAGAAATCATCATCTATGCAGAGCTTCAGTTTTTAGTTATTTTTTATTCTCTTTAATGGTGTGATCAATCTTGCATTCATACATCTTACATCTGGTAATCTGAGCAACTTCGTTGAAGATAACAATATGTAAAATAACAACTACTGTTAATCCCTATCATTTTGTTTTGAAACACTGCATCATTTTTATTGTTTTTGCTTTGTTTTGTTTTTGTCTATTTTGTTATTATTTTGTTATTTTTTAAAATTCTCTTTAAAATAAAAAAAAAGTAGAAAGAGAAAGAAATCATCATCTAAGTTTCCAGGACTCTTGATTCTTTCCAAGGTGGCTGCTATCTTGATTTTGATTCAAACGCTCCTGCAAGGCCTTCTACTCCACCAGTCTTGCTTTGTCCTACCATGCTACATCTCTGCTTATCAGTCCCTACCAACATCACAGACAGCAGCCAGTCTCTAATAATAAAGTCATAACCAGCCCAGATGCTTCACAATGGCTATTATCACTCTAATTCCCGGCTGCCTTGATGAACCAGAGATTATTTTTCTTGAAAATAAAGAACAGAAATTTCTTTCCTACATATCTGGAGGCTGGGAAGTCCAAGACTCAGGGGATGCATCTGATGAGAACTTTCTAGCTGGGCCACCCCATAGCTAGGTTAGAATGGTGAGGGACAAATTTGCCCTTTTATAAGAAACTGGTCCCACCATAACAGAACAAATTCCTTTGCAAGCGCAGATTCCTAATGGCTTGGTTACCTCACTAACGATAGTCCTACCTCTTAGTACTGTTACAATGGCAATTACATTTCAACACAAGCAGAAAACTTTTTTCCCCCCTGAAGTTGTATTCTCTCCAGAGAGAGTGACCAAAGGCTTTAAATTCTATAAAAACTTTAACATTAGCCAGTAAGAGAAAGAATTTGGAGTGAATGGTTTACATCTTTCCCAGGCTTCAAATATCTTATCATTTAATTGTTTCCTTATTTGCCCATTGTTCATTTATACATTAATAAATATTTATTTAGTACTTAATGTTGGAGAGGTTCTGTTTCAGATACTGGGAGTGCTGCAGAATAGAAGACAATTCCTGTTTTAAGTGCATTAAGGTTAGTACTGTGTGTGTGTGTGTGTGTGTGTGTGTGTGTGTGTGTGTTTGGGGGACATTGCTTATTTTGTAGCAAAATCTCCCCGATTTCTTGGAAGAGGGAAACTATAGTTTTCACAGAATACCAGTTCACATCCGGGGAATGTAGTTTGGGAAAAGACCCAGGTAGTCACCTATGCTATATTTCTTTCTTTTTCTTTTCTTTTTTTTAAGTGAACATAAAAAAGAAAATTTTTTTTTTTTATCTTAAGGGAGGAAGAGGAAACAGTGCATATCAGGTGTACAATATTATTGACATGTCAGATGTGTTCAAATTCTCAGATTTAATAAACTATGTTTGTAAGGAATGACATTTGTAAAAATTTCTGCTGAGAAAATGAAGCTACTTAGGTACATAACAAGTTTTGGTACTGATTTTATATATCAGATGTTATACATCTTTGATCTTCAAGTTATGTCAAATAGATTTCAATTGTTTGCTTTTTAAAGAAGTTCGTGTGACACCCTGTGTTGAAGTTAGTATCTCATAAAAACACTAGGAATACTTTCTTGCACTAACAGTCAACTTACTGAG